CAAAATTCAACAAACCTCTCCCATCAGCTCCACAATCAGGTCAGCTTCACCTGCAGTGCTGTGCACTGACACCACAAGGAATTATTCTGAGCTCTTAGCACTGTGTCATCCTCCTTAGACATTCAGGGACTTTGTAATGGTCTCGTAGTTCACTCCTGCTGAGCTAGCTGGAAATTACAAATAAAAAAAATTAAGTACTTCAGGAACAACCATTGTTGGAAAACAGGCTGCTTTCCAATTATCTTGCTTATAGGTAGCAAGGGAAGTGTGGTTTAATTAATTCTTCACTCTTTCACAATGGTTTGCCTTAATAGGAACTTGAAAGTGCTGCATTCATCCAACACATCTTTGGCTTCATTTGCTTTAGTCTTCACATCACATTCCATATGGTAAACCCTCAAAGCTGATCTATGCCCACCTCATTGTGAGTCAGTCCTCCAATCAGTAAGGCACCATCTTCCACACAGTCCACACAAGAACCTGGGAAGTACAGCTTTTGTCCAAATGCCCAGTCCCACTCCTGTGTATTGGTGCTTCAAATCCAAGCTGGATGAAGTGTTTTGGAATGTAAGTTAAAGTTTGAAATTTCTTTTCCTTGGAGTGCTTTCTAAACCTGCTTTACGGAGAGGATGAGGACAGCACTACTTGAGCACAATGTCACAGTCCTCAAATGTCATTCCACCATTCCCTTTCATGCCTGCATATAAGTAGACAAGTTTTTGCACAGCTCAGAGGAGAAGAATCCTAGAACATCCTGGACTTCAGCAAGAAGCAGCATATAATACCTAGAACGCTTTTGGACTGTAGTTGCCAATACCTGGACTTGAACACTAACTGGCATCCTCAGATGCAGATAGACAGGTATGAGCCACCTGGGCTAGTTGGGGGTTTTTAGCAAAAACTTGTTTTCAGCTGCCTCACAGAGAGAAATGGCTAAGAGAAAACATGGTTGTCTCTTACTGCTGTCTACATTTGCTCTTAAAAGATGTATCAAGACATGTATTAATATATACTGGTCTGTGGAGTACTTGCCCGTAAGAAACTTTTCTATTCCTTTGTTTTCCCTCCAGTTGTTCTTTAAGAAACACTAGGTGCCTGGAGGCTTAACAGGAAAGAAAAAAGTCCCTTATTGCCCTTACATCATCTATATGTATTGCATATTGCACAAAAAAAAAAAAAAAAAGAATAGGGAACAAAAAATTTATAGAAATAAAAAGAAACTTATGGGAACTGTCCAGTCTATTCCTTACTGGAACTCTAAGTTGTTCTTCTAACTTCAGGTACAATATGCTTCAGTGGTCCATTCATTTTCTTTCCTACAAGAAATTTATATTACTCAAGTGAACTGTGAAGCTTGGTGCCAGTATTTATTTATGAGGCTGCTTAAATTCAGATTACAAAATAATTTGCAATTCTGAGTAAAATAGACTAGTTTCTCTTACTCACATTTTCACAGAACCTCTCTTACCTAGGAAGAGCATGTATTTGTCTTAGCAACCTAATGCACCTTATTAAAGCACTGTACAGATATACCTATATATGTTATAGTACACATCGAGTTACATTCACTTACACATTTCCAGTTTGATACAAAGAAATAAGAAATTTTCACAAGTACTAAGAAAGGGGAAAAAAAATCTCATTCTAACGAATCAAAATTTGTTACCTAAAAAAAACCAACACTAAACCAGATACACATCAAAACAGCATTATTATTGATGCTCTAACATTACCCCTCTAACGGTTCACTATGCCCTGAAAAAGTAGGGAAGCGCTTCTGGAAAGCATAGATAGCTCAATTAAATCTACTGAAATATCATAATTTTTATGCAGCATTATAGCTTTTTTTGATTATGGAAAGTACAGTTCAGCACAAAAAATGTTCAGTGTGTTTCTAAAAAAGGTGAAATATTTTTAAAAACAAATAATTTAAAAGAACAGTTAGCTGCAGAAACAGATTCTCTTTTTTTTAATTTTACATTGAGCCCTGCTTTTTTAACTCATGAATAGAAATTCTTAAATATGAAAGTTAAACCTAGTCTGATTTATTTCCATGTCTAGACTGACGGAAATCTCGGGAAGCTTTCATAAAAGCTAAAAAAATTCTGCAGCCAATTACCGCTACAGATATGACAGAGTCGGAAATTATTCATATACTCCAGAGCTTGAAACCACAAAATCCCCAGCAAATTTTACAGGGTAGAAGACAAGTAGTCATTAAATTTCCACTTCATTCACACCCCTGTACAGTATAAAAAATAATACAGAAACCTCCAAGATGTGACTAGCCATATGACCTGCCAGCATTTTATCCTTCACTGATGAGAAATGAGAAAGATAAGGCTGTATTTCATGTAAAAAAACTTAGAAAATTTATAGCTATAGAATTTGGGTTATTATAGCTCAGATATAATTTGCTTTTCATTAAAATAATCTTTAACTATGCTTTTTAAAATAAGAACTTACAGCTACAGGGACTCTCACAATCGTGACATCAGACTATTTTCCTCATTAAAATATTAAATGATTAACAAGCTCAAGTACTGGGGAATGGGAAAAAAATTGGTAATTTCCTCAGTTAAGAAACACTGACATTCCTTTAGGATGAAGCTCAGAATTTTTTCTTCCTCATTAGCACTTGCTGGCTTACCGAGTGCTTCTCCATAGTGTAGCACAATTGCAGGGCAGAGGATCACTCTCTCTTACCATGGTGTTACCAACCACAGTATTTGGGATGTAGCACAGCTGGATGAAACAAAGTTTCTTCACAGACTACGATGCTAAAAATAGCAACTCATTTTCTTCTAATAGTCATAGCCAAGACACAGAATTTCTTTTTCTTTCGCTTGATCACATCCTTTAAGATCTCTTGTAGCTTACCTTGGCTATTTTTCTCTCTTGGTTGAGCTTTGAGAACCATCACATAGACACCCTCTCAATTGTTTGCTTTCTTCCAGGACAGCATGACAGTTCTACAAAAGCAGCTTTAAGACCTAGTGAAAATACAAAGGAAAACAAGAAGGAGAAAAGATTATTGTGTATAATTGGAATTTCTACACCATCTGTGCTGAGGACTGCATAGGCTCTGCTGAATCAAGCAGAAGATGTAGAGTGTACCCGGTGAAGCACTGAGGTTAACTATTATCAGTCATCTCTGAAGGCTTTTCTACCTGAAGTGGCTTGAAGTAGGACAGGTTATAAAACAGATACAACATATGAAAAATGAAGACTTGTGATGTTGGGTTTTTTTCATCTTCATTTGGGTTTTTCTTGTTTGATTTTTAGATTGGTTTTTATTTTTAATTTTCATTTTGTCTCATCCAATTCCCAAATGATTGCTGTACAAGGAGGAACAAGGGGCAGGGATTTAACTTCTCTTTAAGTGAGGCTTCTAACCAACTTCTATTCAAGTTGTACATTCAAAAACTTGCCTCCTTGGTATCCATGTTTCTCTGTACCTCTATTTAAATTATAAATCACCCACTCAGCAACGCATAGCATATACTCCACTGCATTAGTTCGTAGTTCCAGGCTTGACCAGCATGGTCTAGAAAGCAAAGAAGCTGTCCTGACCTCCTCCTAGGGCCTGGGCCAGGAAAAAAAAACTTATTCCTTCAGCATATAACCTCTTGTCTTTGTTGCGGGTAGCAATTGTCTTGCAGGCCTGGAAAAGGGCATATCTATGAAGTCCTTGCAAATCTGGGATCTGTGCTCGCAATGGATGTAATTGTCCTATCTTATATGACCACTGATATTTCATCCATACAAAAAATTACTACAGACCAAGGACAAGGAAGAACAGCATTTTTATTACTAACTTTTACTGATAAGTCCATAGCTCTGTTAGATGCAACATTTCAGGTAGAAAGGTTTTTTGAAAGTTAACAACTCTGCTTTGATTTCATGGCAACGATAGTCTTTAGAAACCATTAAAGATGAAGAGAGCAAATTGTATCAGACAGTTTTTATGCTGTTTCTTCAAAAATTAGAGTCCACGCCAGGATTTGTGAGAATGACAGAGGTAAGGTTTTCTATCACATAAAAAAAAAAGTCTTACCTCTGACCAATTTTTTCAATAATAGCTACGATTTTGATGCACTTCTACCTTAAAAAAATATGTAAGTGTGACCTGTCACTTGAAAACAGGGTTGGGAAAAGAGATGAGGAAGAGAAAACTAATAGCCCACATACTGCTGTTTTAGTCATCTTCTAAGAACTCCATCAGCTACAAAGTACATGAGCTTTACCACTTTAAAAAATTGACTACCTTTAAAATGACCGAATTCCCAGAAAAACAGATAAGAGAGCGTAAATCAGACTAGAAGCCTTTTAGAACAATTTCTTTTCAGATGAAGGGAAAGCTGAAAGGCTGCATAAACGGTATTTCACCTAAGTTACAACATGATAATCAAGAAAAGGTATTGATTTTCTATGCAATAAAATCCAATTGTCAAGGACAGAAAGGACTGCATTCCCCAGGCTGAGGCAAGGTGTGCCTGGCTATCTAAAGTCATTGCATCTGGCATCTCCAGCAGATGGGGAATGGGAAGTTATCCATTATGTTCTGAGGTCATATTTGCTGTTTCTGAGGAAGTCTAAGGACTGCTGGCCATTCTGGATTGTGGGGACAATCAGGATAAGAGGAGTGAATATCAAAAGAATGTCCTCAGTGCTATGCAATGCTATTTGGCTGAGGTCACCTAAGCCCTGCTCTTTTCACATTAAAAAAAATGTTTAAAAAATCAAAACCCAAGTTTGATCCACAGACTGGAAAAGCAAACATATTCCCTCTGACTTAAGAGGTTTTGAAAGCCTGTGGTAGTCACTGCCACTGGTGAGTGGTGTGAGGTTTGAACAAGCCAAGGCTTATGATCATGGCTAATGACAACAACACCTTAATGATCCCTAGATTTTCTGTTGCTACTGAAACTCAGTTACTGAGACTTATCTAAAAGTAATCGGTATAAAAATACAAAGAGCCCTTCTTGTTTCTTCCATAGGACTACACCCTGACCATGTACTTTCAGCAGTCCTGGAGGGATAAAAGGCTCTCCTATTCTGGAATACCTTTGAACCTAACTCTGGACAACAGAGTGGCCGACCAGCTCTGGGTGCCGGACACATATTTCCAGAATGACAAGAAATCATTTGTCCATGGGGTGACAGTGAAAAACCGAATGATTCGACTCCATCCAGATGGGACAGTCCTTTATGGCCTACGGTACGTTGGGTTTTTTAATCAGCTACATTACTGTCCTGGCAGAAGTGCAGGTAGTACCAATGTCACTTTCCTCTCCTTTTTCCCAGTTTCTCAGTGTATGAGTCAGCACATACTTCATCTAGATGACCACATCACACCCAAGAATTTTCCACAGAGCATCAACACTATCTTTAATAACTATATCCATAACTAACAAAGTCTAATGCCTCTTTTTTTTTTCAGCTCTTCTGAGTATATTTAAACTACTAAAAGAGTTCTTTATTATGGTTATCACTTGGTAATCAATCACAGTTTAGACCATCACTTACTTCCTTCTAAAATTTCTCCAACAGCTCTTTAGGACAATGTGAAATTAAAATTTGGAGTCATCTGAAGAAATCTGACCAACATTTGGTAGGGAATAAAAAGAAGATATTTGTAAGTTTGAGTTAATTATTTAAATATTGTCTATATGTCTGAGTATAGGTTTATAACTGCCTCTTCACACCACAACTGCTTCTTCATACAGTGCAACCCATATTCATCCCTGTAGATAAAACTATATTCTGAAGTTTGAACAGGCACAGTCTGATTATAAGGTACACAGATGTGAAATTAAAACTATGCCAAGCTATTTGTTATGTTGAGAATTTTGCAGAGCCTGAGTAGGGCTTTATTGCATTATTTTTGAAGTTAAGGTAGCTTTGCTTGGAAATAACATTGTCTGTCTGAAAGAACCTTTGATCACTCTTGTCATTCAACAATAAAAATAATGTCTGGGGAATATAAACCTGAAAGCATAGTTCAGTTAATCAGAAAAAGTTATAAAGCATAAAACTTAGTTGAAATACCTCAAAAATGTACCTAAGATAGAATTAGAAAAAAAACCCAAACTGCTGCAGCAGTTCAAAATGAAAATAATATTTGGGAAAGTATAACTTAGAGCTTACTGAAAAGAGAAATTTGAAATTACCTTTTAGCCTATAAAAACATAACCTTTTAAAACACAGCACTACCCATGCAGAGAAAGCCTTCCAACCTATCAATTCAAGCTTCTCAAGAAACAAGAAATTATTTAAAAATTATTATTTTGGATAATCATGAGTTTGCTTTTGAACCTATCAGATTCCCAGGCAGTGCATCAGTTGCTATCAAGAACCACACAGTTTAATACAGCTAGATCTGTTCTGGTACAGAAAAACTGCTATTTCAGTTGTGAAAAAGAAAACAAGGGACCCGTGAGGAATTAGTTGTTCAACTAAAGGATGTCATTAACATCTGCTAAACAGAGCATTTGAAAAATACATCTTTCCCATTGCCTTCAGACCTCCTACAGTTCCTTTCAATCAAATTGACTCCTACAGGACAGTTACCATGAGAGGAATTTTTGGCCTGATAGCTTTTCAAAATATTTCTCCTTTTTTTCTTTTTTTTTCCTTTAAGGCCAGGAAGTAAATTTATTTAGATTCTAGAATTTGCAAAGTGGCAAGAATGTGCATTAGAGGCAAGCACTCCCTCACAGGCAGTTGTATATACAATATAAACTACACCTTGAAATGTATGCCATGCATATGCTTCCACACACACACTGTACATTGGATATCAATAACAGTCTTCTGCAGAAACAGCAAAAGAGGCTGTGACACATCTGGTGAACCTGCTGCAAGTCCTCTCATGTGTTTCATCCACAAAGCAGCAGCATGGCCAAGAAGCTGTGACCTTGCCCATGCTTGTCCTCTCAGAGGTGATCAGGCAAACCTCCAGTGCAGCAGCAAAGATGGTCAGCTTCACATAACAAGGTTGCTAGTTCATATGATCGAATAACCACTCACATTTGAATAGTTAAGCAACAGTTCTGCAACCCTGCAACAGCTGCAGTTCTGCACGTTAATACCCCAGCCAATATCTATCACTTCTTGTGGTAGGAAATCCAAACAGAAAAACCAAAACAAAAAAGGCAGAAAACCCCACACTAATATAAAGGGTAACCTACATCCCACACGCTTGCAGTTCGGTACTATGCAATTCCCTTCTCCTCCCTTACCCCTGCCTCATGCCCTTAACATACACTGCCACACGAGCAACTCTGAGTCTCCCAGATTTCTGGGCTTCCCCACCTTCTCACCCAGGTTTCTGGGCTTCTCCACCTTCTCACCCCAGAGAAGGCAGCACGGTCTCAGGATACAGCAGGGCCAAGTGTCGCTCGGTGTGCCCGTATCCACTGACGGCATTGTCGTCACCAACCACATGCATAAAAAAAGTGCTGAGCTGTCAGGTCTTTTTCACAGGTTGAGCTGGTGTGCCATGTTTTCTCCGGGGACAAGGCAGCTCTTTAGATGCATCTGGTGAGTAGACTTTGGCCTGTAGTTACCACACATATAGTGTCCCCATCCCACAAGAGGGATCTGATCAAAGACAAAACTAGCAAATGAGCAGGAGAAAAAATGATGTTAAGAAACATTAAAACTATTTTCATATGACTTATTGCTTTAAACTTACATTAGTGGTCACTTTCCTCATGGTAATAAATATGCTTCTGTGAGCCTATAGTTACCTTTAGATCATACGAACATCAATTTTTTCATTTGCTAGATGACACATATGCCTCATAAGAAATAAAACATGAGAAAACACTACAGAAAATGTTTTTAGGTAAAATTCAGCATTGCCCGTTAGAAATTTGAGCACAACTCCGATCTTAGTCTCACAAGTAGAAAAGAGACCGTGTAGCATATTAACTTGCACTTAGTTTCTGTGCAGTAGGGAGAGGGAGGACAGTATCACCAAACTTCTCATAGGTTGTGACGTGTGAGTTTCATTTTCCTTGCTGAAGACAGATCATTGGCCAGGCATGACTTGAATAAGAAAGACAACACCGATTACACTGCAGACCAGGGTCTGAGTTCCCAACAAATTAGACAGGGTTTTAACCCATCCCTCAAGGATGATTTAAATGCTTCCTTTTCCTCATGCCTCCTATTCCCCAAACAACTTTTCTATTTTTGGTTGAGTTAATGTTTCTGTTCAGGCTCAGATATGAAATTATACTGGTTTCTTTAAAAAGAAATTGGAACAATCATAGCAGTTCTAAATAACCTGCTTTGTTTGCATCCATGTACACAGCAGTTTGTCATTGATGCAATGTTCAGTCTCAACAGAGTTGAGGAAAAATAAACCAAGGTTAGTCATTTGGCTCTTAAGATGAATAAACAACAGAAACATGCACATAATACACTGGACTGGTTTTAGATCATGTAACAAAGCATTATCACTTCAGTATGCCTCCATTATAGTATTATTTCTATGATGAACTGAACAACCCCTTTAGCTACTTTTTCCAGTAACTTTCAGCTGCCATGTCCCCACAGTTTAAAAAATGATATATGCTATAAACTTGTGCAGACACAAAATACTCCTAAACCTTCTGCCCTCTAAAATTGTGCATTGCTGTTTTGTCTCTTGCTGCAAATTCTACTTCTGTTAATTGTTCGTAGTAGTGAAACATATATAACCTTACTAATCAAATAACTCCTTCATCCTTTTACCCAAGCAACCACACACACAAACACGTTTAACTCCATGTTATTATTTCCACTGAATTCCATTTCAAATATGTCAGGGAAGTTGAGTGTCACTGTTAATTATTATGTACCTGAAGTGTGTGATTCTTCAGTTTCTGTCAAGTACTCCCACCAGCAGCTATTATCATTTTCTGTGGTGTAGACACCTGCTTCCTAAGAGAAAAAAAAAATTCTCTTTGAGTCAATGTGCAAACCTGCAGCACTGTGAGGATGGTGTATGAGACAGTTCTAGCCTGGTCCCAGTACAGCTGGTAAAATACTGAATACTATTTTATTTATTTATACCTAATTTTTCCCCCCATTTTTAGTGAGTGATTGGATCCCATTAGCTCTAACCCTTTTGGCATTAGCAGTGTCTCCCATTACTTTTATTGCCTATTCAGGCAAGATCCTCCAGAAGTCTCTCCTGAATCTCTAGATTCTCAAACCAACACATGCTGTTGCTTCTTTTGCTTCTCGTTTCTCACCCTTTTCCAAGTAAGATGCTAGACATGTAATCTGTCTTTGAGATATTTAAGAAAACATTAATAATTTATTGTACTGAATTCTATGTTCAAATTCTTATGTCATGATGTCAAGAACGGAAGCTCTGATTTAAATCATCCTTTCCTAGTATTTTATGACACCTCTTAATTCTTCTCAAATTTTCACTAGCAGAACAATGACACCTTGTTGCTTTGGAGACATCTGTTCTTTTATCATGACATTGCCTCGAAATAAACAGCAGAATTTCATCTGGTGTGCTGGAAGAAGCATATCCTTGAAAAGTATTAGTTGTTAAGAAGCATAACATACCTTCAGTAATACCTTTACACAGATTTCTCTCCCTTGTGATATTCAGACACCAACATGATTCCATTAGAGCAAGTCTTTATTTCAAGGCAGGGAGACTGAGCATATCATGACAAGATGTGAAGCTCTGGCTTGGAGCGTTGAAAACTTCTGGTTTCAGTGAGACCACCATCTTTAAACTGCTACCGCAGAGGATGCAACTTTGCTAGACTCTGCTGCGACTGCAAGAGGACAAGGGGAAAAATGATCTTTGCCTTCAATGTAAGGACTTATTTCACCACTTCTTACACAAGTAAAATCTTCTGTGATGCAAACTCTGAATCCACCTACGTCCAACCAATTCACAAATGCGAATCGACTGATGCAACATTGGGTTTACCAACCACTTATTCGTGCAATATCCATGGGAGCCCATCTAGCATATCATAGAGGTGGAATACAAAAAAGCTATATTTAATTGCTAAATGTTTAGGTTTTAAATATAATCTTAAAAGTGAATTTTAGTGGGAACTTCCCTTCTTGACTGCATCTATTTTGGTGATATAGCGGTGAATGTTACTAAAGAAATTAACTAGACCCGTGTTTACATCTTTTATTACAAGGAATCTTAATAGTTTGTGGGTTGCTTTTGCATTGCCATAATTTGGG